GTTCATCATTTTATAATTTAAAAAATAAAATAAAAACCTTTATATAACTCTCTCATTTAAGAATCAACATTTTACAGTTTAGATTATAAATTACTATTTTCATAATAATAATACACAAATTCTGAAAAGATGAATATGCAATTTCTTTCTCTATTCAGCTGTGGTCTTGTGGAACCCTAGTCTTGAATCAAAGTTAGTGAAGAAAAGCAAAGAAAGATTGAAAGATAATAATTAAATTTAAAAGATAATAATAAAATTAAAATAAAAATATATATGTTTCCTTTAAGATATGAAAAAATGATTATAATTTTAAAACAAATTTTAAATTAAAAACATATATATTATGAGATAAGAGAGTAGAAAAAAATAATTGAAAGAGAAAAACTTGTCTTCTTTGGCTTAGTTTAACCGTATTAAACTATAATTGCAACATTAAATTTTTTAAGTCATATAATATCTTAAAAATATATAAAATATATTTAATATTTATTTAAAGTAATATTTTATATATTTAAAATAACAAATAATATAAAAATAAAAAACTAAGATACCTATTAGTATTCTTAAATGAAATTAAGGTACTACAAAATATATAGTAATTGAAAAAAAAAAAGAAAAAGAAAAAGGAAAGGAAAAAGATTGCAAATCCATTGCTTTTTTTCTTCCGCTCTCCCTTTTTTCTTAGTGGGACAATCAATCCTTGGTGCGGCCATCCAGGAACTTGCGAGGATGGTGCCAGACTGCCATCGCACGAAGTCCAAAAGCCAAAGCACGTAAAACCCACATCCCGAGTTCCTTCCCAGGAAAAAGGGAGACCAAGTGGTGTCCAAATCGACTCGGATCGAATCAAGCAGGACAGATGGGACGGTCAGGATCGGGTGGCCACAGTATCAGTTGGTCTCGGAGTTAGCTAGGCGTGGTTTGAAGAGGCACTCGCGGTGGCCAAGAATGGAGATAGCGCCATGCAGGTCCTTGTTGGTCAGATGTATTGCAGTGGCCATGGTGTCCTCAAGGATGTTC